GACTCGAACCACCAACCTTGTGCTTCCCAGCACACCTTCTCTAACCCCTGCGCCACGACGACCCCTGTCAATGTCTGTCTGTTCCACTGTGATTGACCTCCTTGACAGTCTTGTTTTTTGCACGGGTGAAATTGTGTCCCAGCAAAAGCACACAAGGATCAACATCAGCGTTGCATGTTCTCTCTCTCTCTGTGTGTGAGGGGGGAAAGAGAGAGACGGCGATGACGGAGGAAAAAGAACATTCGATTGGATCCTCCAGAGAAAGGACCCAGTGCTCAGCTCGACGGGCTCACCCGGACCTCCCATTGGTGGCTCATGGACATACGAGGCTATTCGAGTGCTGCCAGAGGACGGTGAGCAGCAACAAAAACAGTAGAGATTGAGGGCAATCTCCCAACAGCTGATACTATGTCAGCGACAGTGGAGGCATTCCAAGAATTATGGTCCAGGTTGCCATCAAAATAAATGAAAAATGCCTGAAGGACCGGCACAGGACCACAGAAACATGAAGCAGATTATATACAGGTACCTCTGCAATTAGACCGAATTAAGCATGCACACTGATAAATACACAGGCTACACAATACAAAGGGTCAAAATTTCAGAAGGTTTTACAAACACCTTTAACTTTCTTGATTCTCAAAAGGCTCTTATCTTGTTTCTATTCTCAAAATGGTTTTCCAACTTTCAACATTTCGTAATTAATGAAAGTTAGACCCTGTTCTTTACATTTTTATTCTATAAAAAAAAATATATTTGTCCTCTACTCAATTTTCTTACTTATCCCTGATACGCTTATTATCTTATATTATTGTTGTATTTGCTTTTCATGCATGCGCATAAAATACGCATTTCCTTAATGTTGACACAACATGTGTAGTATGTAACATGGACTTGTTGTACTACAGGTAACTACAGGTAACTGAGATGGCAACTCTCTGCATCCTTCAGAATTATGAGAAATCTGCCAATCTGTCTTTGCTGCTTTTTATATGGACTCATGTGTCCGGAATCAAAGTTGAATATTTGCTTTAACCCAGCCAGGATCCCAATGAAACATACGGTAATCTCATTCCACATCAGTGGTGAAAGGTACATTTTCTCCTGCCGCCATAAAAAAGCACAAATAGTGATTACGGTGCACCACATTTCAGGAAGGAAACGGCCCAACGTCAACCCCTGAGCGCTCTCACACGGACCTGAATCATAGAAATGGGGTAATTGAAACAAAAGGGCAGAGTTTGACAGAGATGTAGTGCCTTTGCTGGGCCTTTGCACAGACTGCAGAAAATAACACCCAAGTCCTCCCCTCTGCAAGGTTCATCCTCCATGCGTCCTCGGCAACTCCAGTGTCCTTCCTTTCACTCCGCAAGATCCCCATTTGCACATGTCAAGCGCAGGGACGGAGCCTTCTGAAAAATAAGGCACCAAATAGAGCATGCTCCTCCGTGGGTTAAAGATGGACTCTAATCACATGCACTGTTTACCTTGTAGTCATTATGCTGCCTCCATTAATCAGGGCGACTCAAACTGAAGAAAGTTTCTTTTGCAAGACTTCTTTCGAGAATTTATTCTATTTACTTATAAAAAATAAAAAATTAACGGGATGGTAAGTGAATTAAAAAAGCAATAAACGTGTTCAGCTCCGTCCTGCAAAGCAAGTCCAACTCTCTTTTTCATTATCACATTGTCCATTTCAAATTCTGCAAGCAGCATGAAATTCATAACGAGCATTTGAACTCCAGAGGGGGGAAAGAATTTTAATAATTTGCCCAAACTTATTTTTTTTTCTTACCCTGAAGTGTAATTACCTCTTTGAATGATATTTTCTACACATCATGCTAATTCACTGAGTGAATATAAGCAGTTGAGAAGATAAATAAATGTATATAAAAGTTCCCTTCCCCGGTGCACAAGTCGTTCCATTGTATCTATCATTTGAATTCATCTCCCATGACTAGAGGGAAGAAAAACACTGTTAGTAAATTATTACTTCCCCGTGAAGGCTCATATCCCCACAAATACATGGCAATCATTTCCCATGCATTAGCAATGGGACAGAAACAAAGTGGTTTTGAATTCCTTTGACCAGAAGGCAATTTCCCCCAATAAATTATGTTAATTCAGCCTTCGCTCTCCTTATCGCATTCTTTAGTGAGTCAATGAGGAGAGACAAAACTGACTGCCAGAGAGACAACTCTGGGATGATTCACATTATAATGATTAAGACTTCTGGCAAGAGAATCTCTTATATTACTGTACAAATACATGTGAGCCCGCAAATGAGTCTATCATGCAATAGGTTTCCGTTTGTTGTCACTTAATGGCCTTCTCCTTGCATCATCGCAAGGTTTACACCCCGTGGAAATTGCTCCGAGGTGACTGCTCGCACAAGTAGGATGGTACCCGATACCAAGTCCCACGCTCCCTCGATGAACCACACAACAATTGCTTGGCAACGCTCTCATTGGGCAGAGGGATAAAAACAAAGACAAATCCAGGATGTATTCTCCCTGCACGAATAGTTATCTTTTTCTATTCTTTTTCTTTCTGAAGCAACTAACAAACAAGGGACTAACGGGCAAGTTTAAATAAATAAAAAATAACAACAGCAGCAGCAACAGGAGATGGGAACAGCCACACAGCTGCAGAAATGCCCGCATGGAAATTCTTGTGGAGAAACCCTCTCCCTCTAACACAGACAATTTGGTTACTGAAAACATCAAGCGGTGCACGCACACACACACACACACACACACACACACACACACACACACACACACACACACACACACACACACACACACAGCAGTTCGGTTCTTTGATCCTAAGGCTGAAAGCATGCCACCGCCCTCACTCCGGCCCGTCAGATCACTCACAACACAGCGAAAGGGAAAGCGCTGGGCTAGCTCAAATCTAGATTGACAGGCATACCTTTATTACTGACTGAGTTGTGTTTCCCTGCAAAAAAGACAAGTTGGCTTTTGATAAAAACAAATGCAGAGTCAGCGCTTTGCCTCTCCACAGGAGGATAGCTCGACTGATCTCAGCCGAGCCTGTCCCAGGCCCGATGTTGAAATCCATTTTCCTTCCAATCCATTTCTGGAACTCACGCTGGCCTATAAAAGTAGCCTGTAAGTGGTGACGGTAGCGTTTAAGGATGCTTATACTGACCTGATATACGAGAGAGGGGCCTGCCAGAAGAGAATAAAACGGATTTTACTCTCATTCCTGAATTTGCCCGTTTTATGAACTAAGTCGTTGGCATTCAGGGTCGGGGAGTCAGGATGGGAGTCTTTCCCATCATGCATTGGCCGACATGCAGGGAAAACACCCCGGACAGACCTCCAATTTAGCACAAGGAGAACCAAGAAACGAGGAAACAGTATCAAAACTATGGGAATTGACAGACCGGATGTAAAGATTGCCTTTTGAATGTGGGAGGAAACCAGAGCACCCAAAGGAAACCCATAAGAACAAGGAACCAAGGCACCAACAATACCACGGCACCGCCCATATGACCCAGCAACCCTTTCTAACGCTATCTAAATGTCGACATGCATCATAAAATGACTAAATAAATACGAACGCACTGCCACTTACTTAGTTTGATACACGAGGTCCCTCTAGCACAACTGTTTATTTAATCCTAATATATTCATAATTATACACTAATTAATGCGAGAGCAAAGCCCTCTTAATTCATCATCTCCCTGTCCTGAAGCAAGAGACACAACTACACCAACTTTAACATGTTTGCCTTCTGTCCAAAGCAAGGTTAACAGTTTGAAAAAAAAAATAGCACGGCGCAAATGACGTGTGAAATTCTCCCTTTTTTTGGATAGGCTGCTCGCCAGCTGCTTCCAGCTGTGCGGCACTGTGAGGTTGATATTTGGCATCAGCCAGAGTGAGTAAAGAAAAGGGATTTAAGGAAACAGTCAAAGGGCTGAACCGTGAAATGGTGCATTATGGGAAGGATGGCAACGGATTGCATCGATCCAAACATTGATTCGACCGGCTTGCCGGTGCACCACAACGCTGACCTGTAATATGCAGGGTCACTGGCCAGCAACGGGAATGTCATCAAAATTAAACAGCCATTGCTCTTAAACTACTTCCGCTGTGAGCGTATATTTTGATCTTTGAAATGAGCAGAGAAAGAGAAACGTGAAATTGCCTGGCTTATTCGAAGGGCAGCTGAGGAAAACTTCCTTTTCAGCTCGGCCCCACCACCACCACCACTCACAGCTGCTGGTGACTGGTCCGTCTGTACGTCTGAGCACATTTGCATGCACCCGGGTGAGGACTTGAGTTACACCACAGAACGCAACTCATCAGAGCGAGGAGGTCGTGCACCAACTCCGTGAAGCTGTCAAGGGTACTGCACGTGCAGCGGGAACGAGTCCCGCCCGGCCGGGCGGCACGAGCCCGGAGCGGAGCGCTGCTCCGTGCAGCCGGTGGGATGGATGAATAGGAGGCTTCCGATTTGGCGGGTTAGCCCAGTCCGCTTCTACACACCTCAAGAAGGTAGACTCACAAAAAAAATAAAAAAATAAGGTTGTCTGTGACATACAAACCGCAGTTTATTGTTCACATTGGGAGGAGGGGTAAAATAAACGCTGTATCAATAAATACGCAACATTAGAACAGTGCTTTTGCTTTTCTGTTGTTCGTGCCTTGGTTGACACGTGCGAGGCGAAACCCTCGGTGCTGCTCTACGTGTAACCTTGTGGAGGCGCAGGCTAATTAATGGGTGGTCGCGCGAGCGCATTACAGCACGAACGCCTCTCTGCCCGCACCGCGCTCCGGCCGCCACATGTTAGCGCAAAACAAAAAAAATGAAATAAAACGCACCCAAAACTTGTCGCGTCCCAACCGTTGTTGTTTTTTTTATAGCAAGGTTACGTACTTGCGCTTCTTCTTACCCCCCCCTCCCCCCCTCCCCCAGACCTAAACGTGTAACCGCATAATACCAAACCAAAGAAGCGCCTGAAACTCACCAGTGCAGGTGAAGCCAGCGAAGAGGAGCACGAGCCCGCAGCGGACAAAGGGGCCCAGAAGTGAGGGCATCTTCCTGCTTTCTCTTTCTTCTTTAAGGGAACAAAAAAAAATTCACCCAAGTTTTAAAAGACAGGCAGCAGAGCCGAAAACGCCGGCACAACTGGACTTAAAAAAACAACAACAAAAAAGGTCCGGAGAGTGTCCTCTGTAGCTCTTTAACCGCCTCGTTCACTAACGTCCTTTCCTCAGCACATATCCTCCTGCCGTGCCGTGGCCATCAGTATCCCGGTCGTGCGTCTCCGTTGCTCACAACAACACATCACAGGTGTGGTAAATAAAAGTGCTCGCCTCGCTCTCCGCCGCAATTTAGTATTTTCTCACCGTGCCGTATCGCTCTCCGACGCCCGCCGTGCGTCCACAACTCTCCGTCTCACACCGAGCCGAGGAGCGGTTTTCCAGTTTACCCGGTTTCACTTTTCTCCCCGCGCGAAAGAAATAGCTTCTTCCAAAAACGCAGCAATTGTAAGAAGAATTCGCATCGGAGGAGGAACATCTGCCTGCACAGCAACGCCGGGACTGTTGAGAGTCGGGGAAGGTGTGCACGCTGCGAGGAGCGGAGCGGCAAAACCCGGAGCGGATCCGGTGTGGGAATGGAGCGCATCCTGAGCGCGCCCTCCTGTTATACCCTTGTTTTTTTTCCCTCTTTTTTTTTTTTTTTTCCTTGAGCAAACATTTACATATCTCGAATAAGCATAACTAACCACATTTTGGCAACGCACGAGCAAATGGGTGTAATTTCATCCGCGTTTCCCAGCAAGTGAGCTTTTCCTATCTTCCTGCCTTACATGAAAATGATGGATATGACATCCAGCCCCGCGTGCGAAAGGAGTCAGACGGGTGCTTTGCATACAAATTCGCACAGATCACATCTGCATGCCGTTGAGTTTCAGTTGCACGTGCCTCTGCTTTGTCTTGAGGTTATGTTGTGCGCGTGCTTCGGTGCGTTTGGTGGCGGACAAACAAAGATGATGAAGCAGGAGGATTATCTATCCCACGAGAGAGTGTACACCTGTCAGCTAACTCACACACCAGGAAGTAATTTATGTTCCAGATAGCTTCCCCTTATTTTCTGGGGTTGTCAGTGGAGTGATATCAGCCATGCCTCTTTTTTTATTTATTTTTTATAGCGCAGCCAGAATCAACAGCGGATTATTAAAAGACTTCAGAGGGGTAGGTGGGGGTTTTGCGTCTTTGTTTATCTGTTTCTCCACTCCCACACAATAGTCAGGAGAATAATAAGTGGAAGCGCAGAGCTGGACCACTGTTTTACCAGCTAATTATGGGGCTCATCTAGATGGATGATTCCTCAGATACAGCTCAGCCATTATACAAACTCATTAAGCCTTCGCTCCATCCAGCATCCCTTGCTAAAGGTCAAAGTCGCAGCGAGAATGACAGCGCAGAGCGCAGACGCATAGGCCGCGTGCAGAAACACACAACCCCCATGCTCGTATAGTTCATTTGAAGGGGTATAAGGAAGGCAGACGCACAGTTGCTGAACGCGACAGAAGGACTCAGCCATGGTCACTTGTGAAGTCGTAATGATCCCCGTCATTCTGCTAATCTGCTCTTCGGTGCCAGCTCCAGTGAGTCTTTCCTTTTTGCATCTCCTTTCTGCAATGGCACCCAAACGCTCTCTGCATTTCAGTATGTGAGCATGTGTACGCGTAAAATGCATACGTCGGTTGTATGATCTTCCGCCAGATGGGGAGTATACAGCTTCAGATGAATTATCAGTGTGTTAGCGTTCGCTGAGTCAAGGCGAGGGCGCAGCTTCTCCCAAAACCTTTTCTCCCACAACAGTTTCTTCCAGCGATTCATCGGGTTGACCCCCTCCCCCTCGCTCCCTCAATCAGACTACAATGAACAATCACGGCTCTTTGGGGAGTTGATACATTTTGTTGTTCATCGATTTGCGCTGTTGTAATTAATTTTTCTCTCCGTCCCTGGCTTGGGTTACACTATCCTGCGACCTGAAGCGGCATGATCTGCAGCAATCATCAATCACACAAAAACAGGACAGAACAGGACCACCATTTCTCGTGAAATCTTTATTTACGGCAGCTATGATCTGAACAGACTGGATTTGGTGACCGATGAGTATGAGGACAACAATGAAGTTTATTTGTATGTTGAGAATTCTCACAGCGCCTGGTCCTTCCATAAAGTGTATCCAGTGACACCCGGATATGTATGCGGCCTATAAAGACAACGGATTCGCCTGGTCGATGCTCATCGATCCAATGAAGGTGTCCAGCATGAAATTAATATTATTTATTGTTAACAAACCACACAGAAGCTCCCTGGAGGAGGATGCAGAGCAGGCTCTGACTGTCTGTATTGCAGCGAAGACCAGAGTGTGAGCTCGGGTGTATCAACTTCCATCATGACCACAGCTTTATAGCCTGTTGTTTTGTTTAATATCAAATTAAAAACGGCAATGCTTCTCCAGAGAGATGTAATTGACCACAAGCTCAGATTAAATGACTGTATAGAAGTTAATATCAGCCATCATCGGATTGCATATTACATTACAAACCGCTTATGAGGATAGAGTCCAATGAGAATAAAATTGAGGTTCATATTTGCATGCCGTAGCATTTTAGCCATTAATTACCATGCAAAATGACTGTGAAGATCAATAGTGTATCAATTGAATTAAATATTGACATGGGGCTAGGGAAATTAATCGGGAGCTAAATCAATCGGAGTAATGTTAAAGAGGAGGTATTACTTTAGCATCATAATATCTCCGCTGGCTCCTTCACTCTTTATCATGGTATAAAGGACTCCACCTTCTGTGTAATGACCCTGAATACATCATATATATACACACACACACACACACACACACACACACACACACACACACACACATATATATACACCTCTCCAACCCGGCCGTACTCTCATCATCAAATACTCACGGTCGGTCAGTGTCAATGTCACGATACAGAGCATCTGAATAACACCATCAGAGCAAATGACATTGCACAAAGAGATATTATATTAGTCCAAACTATATGAATACGGATGAGGCAAACAATCACTGTACTTGCCCAAGAATCCGCTGTTCGTGTTCCCTGTAAAAATAAAAATGATACATTTATATTCTGCCCAAACCTCACTTCCTGTGATGAAGGGTGTTTATTTTGAAAAGACACCACGCAAGAAGTGGAAACAGCCCGGCTGTCCTCGCCACATTTAAAAACTGACGCTATAGTGGTACATAGAGTGAAATAGTTTGAAGCATATGGCCAGTGACTAAGCGTCAGTGTTTGACCAGATGGAACTGACAAAGTCAGTGTTCATGGCAACAATCGAACACAAGCTACTATAACAGCCACCATCACCACTACACAACGGGTGATACGCTCCAAGCTTCTACTCCAGGTCATTACATTTGTTGGAAGCCGAAGCTCAATAAAAATGTTATGATCTGGATATGTTTTGCGTAGCTGTGACTTTGTTTAATTAAATGATTTCCCGCCCAAGTGGAGATAAAGTAGACGTAGTGTGATCTCGCCACATCTTGTGCAGTCGAGTGAGGAGCAAAACCAAATGAGAGATGGAGAGTTTACAGAACAGAGAGGCGGAGAGTGAAGGGGAGGGTGGGTGAGGACGAAGCAGCCTGCTGGAGGTCTCTCTCATTTCAGCAGCACAGACTGCTGATGAAGCTGAACTTCCAATATCCCACTACTTCAGCTCTGATGATTTCTCAATTTTACAGATATGGCCCGAGAACGTGATTTGATGAAAATGTCAAATGGGATAACCACCAAATCATATGAAACGGGCCCCATTTGATTCTATGACTATAAATCAAAAGCAGACACTCCGAGAATTAAAGTTGATTTAGTGTTTTTTATTCAAAGTACAACTCTCCCGTCCTGGAGGAAGACAGTGTGTCCTGCCGTGCCCTTATATTGAGATTTTCTTCTACTTAGGTTTTTCTGATTCTCTCCGAGTTCAAAGGGTGGACCTTTGAAAACGGTCCAAAGAGTTGTTTCGAAAGGGAACTCAAACAATTTATTCATAGAATGTGTTTCCATCCCAAACAGATTCCCCTAATCTAAAACACTGCGTGAGTGTTTGGGAGTATATGATGATTTCATTTTCTCCCAGTCTCAGGGTCATAAATAAATTTGCATTCTGTCAGCAAAATGAACTAACTACTTGTAATTCATCAAACATGCTGCTTAATACTGAAACACATGGTAACCCGATTTTTCTTCTCACAGAATCGTTTCACTGCTGAGTTTTCCTATAGGTGAGAAGGAAAGGAAAGGAGCTCTTACATGTTAAAGACCTCATAAAACAATGAAATAATGAAGTGAAATAGACTCCCTTAATGGCACAGTTTCATGCAGACGTGAGATGTAGTCGCACAAAAAATACATTTTGTTTAGCATTTTGAATGTAAATGTGAAAGAAAGCTCAAAGAAATAGGAACTCCTAAGGCAGCTAATTGCATCTAAATGAGGTGTAATTCACTCCGTAAAGATTCAGTATGAAAACAATTTCTTTGTTTTCCCTTTTCTTTAAATGGTATTGTATATTTATTCAAAATCGTGTATCCCTCACAAAGAATAACATCTTTATTCAAACCTCTTTTTAAAGTGTGACACTTCCCAAGACTAGTGACAGTAATGGTGTCAAGCTAAACCGAAGTTTTTTTTCCCCCTCTACATTTCAGGCTTCTCTCTCAAAAAAAATAAAAAGAAGTTTCCTGAAATATGCTTCCTGCACCGACATTCTCTTGTTGTTTTGAATGTCACATTGTCTAAGCGTGCATGGGAGAGGAGACTTTGAATGATGTTGAATCTTTTATGACTGCCTGCTTTTGTGCCAGTCCTTTTCCCGGTGCTGCTCTGAGACTTGATAGGAGCACGCCGTCTACAGCTCCCGGATCTGTTAGCGTAGGAGTAACACACAGGCTAGCCACACTTAACATTTCAGGAGCTTCATTTCAAAATGCCACGTTTCCACCCCTGGGAAAATGTTACCTGAGATGCATTGTTAAAGTTCAATCTTTACAAAAAAAAAAAAAGAAATAAGGGTTTACATCAAAATGCTGCATATATTTGGTAATGAATACGCAAGCATTGAATCCTTTTTGGTAATTTATAATCAGCCGTCCAATCAGAAAGGACTTTTTATGTTTTCGTTACAAAGACAGATGTATCTGCCTTTACAACTGATGGAAGGATATGCAATTTTTAGGTACTTTTACTTAAATTATATACATTTTTTATACTTATACAATTTCAAAGGCACATAAGCTTTTTACCCCATAAAAAATATGGTTGCATGGTACCATGTTAAAAAAAATAAGCTTTAAGAATTTTTTCTTACTGTCACTGACAATCAATTTCTAATATTATTTAGTCTATTAAATGTTAGGATATAGTTAAAAAGAATCATAATTTCCTGAGGTTTTCAAATATCAAGAGTTCAAGTCCCAAGATAATCAGTTCATCATCCAGCACAGAGAATGTTTGGCTTTTCTGTTGAACAATAATTACTTAATTGCCAAGATAGTAATTAGCAAATCCTTTTCTGTTTATAAACTTGTCATTGCTCTACATAAAACTTCCTAATAGGTATAACATA